ATCTCGGGCTGTATGAACATAGGTTAAATTATGATATGTTCATTTTTAACAATGTCGTTTTGGTGATGCCGTAGGAATCATTCTGTTCTGGTTGCAGACAGATGATTTGTGTCAATAACGACAAGCATAAAATTAAGCATTCTGCTTGGAAGATCTCTCATATATGTACTTGTTCAGTAAGACTATTCAATTCAAAAAGGAGACTTACAATTTTGTTATAAGGGCATGAGTTGCCTCCATAATTAGAAAACTATACAATTTTGCTCAAGCTATGGTGCAAAATATTGGTCAAATTGGTTGCTTTGGTAATGGGCCTGAAAATAATTCTGCCACCATAAAATAATCAACAAAGGATTGTCAAAAAGGGATAATCTGCGTATAGGGTAAGGTTTTCCCGACAGTCCTTTTCGTCAAGCTCAACAAAAGAAATTATGAGGCCATCTTTTATCAAAAGACTGACAATATACCTTTCTTTTGCATGAGAGCTGCACTTTTAACTGTTCGTTTTCACATCATAAGGCTCCTTGAAGGCCAGGAAAAAAAAAAAAAAAAAAAAAATTCTATTTAAACCTCACACTACTCTTTCTCTAAAAAGTATTAAATTTCAGATTTAAGATTTTATTTGTTTGTTTGTTTGTTTTTTTTATGGGAAAAAAGAAAATTATGGGGTTTAAATAAAAAATCTATTTTAGTTCTTATTTTTTTCAGTTTGGGTTGTATTTAAGGGTAGTTTGGGAAGATAGCGTGGTTTTCTTACAAATTGTGAAAATTTAAATTAAAAGTTGGGGTGAACTAAGAGAAGTGTGGGGTTTAAATAGAAAATCTCAAAAAAAAATGTAAGAGGCTGTTTGGTATTCAATTTGAATCCAACTTTTTAAACTCAAACACAAAATTTGAGTCCAAAACAAAAAAAAACTTATTTGGTAGTCCTATTTTTAAAAACTAAAACTCAAGAACAACTCAAAAAGACCCCAATTATTAAAAACAAAAAAAATATATATTTTTCTAACAATCCACCGTGCATCTCTTCTCTCTCTCTCTCTCCTCTCTCTTCCTCTTTGCCTTTCTCCCTCCCCCTCTCCATGCTCTCTATCTCTCCTCCCTATTCAGATTTCCAAACTTACATTTCCAGCAGAATTAACATTGCAATGGTAGTCAGTTTAAGGTTTTCTTTATACCTGAGTCGATGGCCAAAAGTGACTGGAGGTGGCCGGATTTTAAGGTTTTCCGGCCAAAGGTTTTCTTTATACTTGAGTCTCTCTCTCTCTCTCTCTCCTCCCGTCAGTATTTAATTTTCACATATCTCCTCTCATAGACACCGCAAAGGGCAGTTTGTTCATGAAAATTGTTCACCCTCTTCCATGGCTCTTGTGAGAAAAACTCAAGGAGAAACCACCTCTTCCAATACTGTGTGTCCTTCTCATCGATGCAGTAGTTATCACATGTTCATGAGTTTCAGAGGCGAAGACATGTAATGCCTACAAGAGCAAAATAAGCATAAAACTAATTATATTGGATTGGATTAGATTGGATTCTCATAAGCAAATTCGTCATCCGATCTAATCTGTTGGTTTTGAAAATTACGGATCCAATCCAATCCACCAAATCATCAAAACTGATTGAAATTAAATTAAATTTAATTGGATCGTCGGTTTGAACAGATTGGATTCAATCATGTACACCCCTAACAATCAGCATAAGTTTCCTGCGTTAATGCTTGAGTCTTTTTATCCACGTCTCCATTTGGCTGTCACATATTGCTAGCGTATATAACATGATTCTCTCTCTCTCTCTCTCTCTCTCTCTCTCTCTCTCTCTCTCTGTGTGTGTATATCTCCACCTATCTTTCTTACAAATTGTGAAAATTTAAATTAAAAGTTGGGGTGAACTAAGAGAAGTGTGGGGTTTAAATAGAAAATCTCAAAAAAAAATGTAAGAGGCTGTTTGGTATTCAATTTGAATCCAACTTTTTAAACTCAAACACAAAATTTGAGTCCAAAACAAAAAAAAACTTATTTGGTAGTCCTATTTTTAAAAACTAAAACTCAAGAACAACTCAAAAAGACCCCAATTATTAAAAACAAAAAAAATATATATTTTTCTAACAATCCACCGTGCATCTCTTCTCTCTCTCTCTCTCCTCTCTCTTCCTCTTTGCCTTTCTCCCTCCCCCTCTCCATGCTCTCTATCTCTCCTCCCTATTCAGATTTCCAAACTTACATTTCCAGCAGAATTAACATTGCAATGGTAGTCAGTTTAAGGTTTTCTTTATACCTGAGTCGATGGCCAAAAGTGACTGGAGGTGGCCGGATTTTAAGGTTTTCCGGCCAAAGGTTTTCTTTATACTTGAGTCTCTCTCTCTCTCTCTCTCCTCCCGTCAGTATTGAATTTTCACATATCTCCTCTCATAGACACCGCAAAGGGCAGTTTGTTCATGAAAATTGTTCACCCTCTTCCATGGCTCTTGTGAGAAAAACTCAAGGAGAAACCACCTCTTCCAATACTGTGTGTCCTTCTCATCGATGCAGTAGTTATCACATGTTCATGAGTTTCAGAGGCGAAGACATGTAATGCCTACAAGAGCAAAATAAGCATAAAACTAATTATATTGGATTGGATTAGATTGGATTCTCATAAGCAAATTCGTCATCCGATCTAATCTGTTGGTTTTGAAAATTACGGATCCAATCCAATCCACCAAATCATCAAAACTGATTGAAATTAAATTAAATTTAATTGGATCGTCGGTTTGAACAGATTGGATTCAATCATGTACACCCCTAACAATCAGCATAAGTTTCCTGCGTTAATGCTTGAGTCTTTTTATCCACGTCTCCATTTGGCTGTCACATATTGCTAGCGTATATAACATGATTCTCTCTCTCTCTCTCTCTCTCTCTCTCTCTCTCTCTCTCTCTGTGTGTGTATATATCCCACTATTTAGCCTATTTCTAATATAATGCAGATGTTCCATCCTCAGTTTACAGTGAAAGATGAAGCAGGAAATTCAGATCTCCGTCTTCCTTCTCTACATTCAGCACCACATAATCAGTTCCTGTTAACCGCTGACCCTCAGTGCTTCATAGCGAATTTATGAATGTGAGTAATGTAGTTGGATTGCCTGGAAAAAATGATGTACCAGATCTTGGAAATTTGGCAATATACAGTAACCTTGTTTGTAATGATTGCGTTTGCAAGATATTTGAAGGTCACAATCTTTTAGATGCATAAATCCTAGTGTTATTTGTAAATTCGGAAGGCTTTAAAAGACAGGTCTGGTGTGTGCATTAGCTGGGTGAGGAATTCAAACGAAGCTGGTCATTTGATTGTTCCAGCATTTTGGTCAGCGAGAGGATGACAATCTAAAATGCGGAGCTGAGCATAAAAACCAAACAGATATTTCAGCATAAAAACCAAGGCTTTCAATTGAAGAAACTCAACAGGGTCTCTGCAAATCAAATGACTGAAACAAAATTCTTAATCCTTTACCCTTTTGTCTCTTCTCTACAAGAAAATTCTTGATTTGAATGGCCGAATAAATATAGTAGTACGATAAATGTAGTGCATATGTACACCATTTCTATCTGTTGCTTGAGCAATAGACAGGTTCTTTCCAAGTGAAACTTGTTAACGACAAAAGTAGCATGACTCCAACAACAGGAAAACAGGGGCTGATAAGGCAATACCAATGCACCATAATAATATATAAATCCATTGTCATGCTACTACAAGCTAACCATAGATTAGCAATACAAGGTTGTGCCTATTGTAGTTCCATTAGAGAATCCAAAGTTCGTTGTATGAGGTAATCCAATCCAACGAACATGCTAGACTGACGAATAAAAACCTAACTGGCTCTCAGACAACCTCTCTGGTATGACCATAGCATTAGAACATGACAGAGCTAAAGAGAAGGGGCAAGGAAAAAGAAAAACCGCAAAACAGACACAGGTTAAACTATTTGAACTTGAGAATGCTTTTTGAAGCAAGAACTGTTCAAGAGTTGTGAGCATCAACCAAAAAGCAAAAGAATTTTATTAAATTAAAAACAATAAAACGGTAGATTTATCATTTGCCCATGAATTGGCCCTCCTGAATATTCAGATGAAGAGAAAAACTTACATAGAGAAAAGGTTACAGAATGAACATCAATCAGGTAAGAATTTTCATCCAATGTGAAATGCTAATGCAACTGTAGTAGTCGAAAATCTATAAATCATTCTGTCAGCTGTATGGTGAAATATTTTAGACAACAATATTCAATTCCAGAATGAACCACAAAAAATGACAATACCATTTCACATATACTATGAGAGCCATGTTAACTCACAAGCACAGCATACAAAGAATACACCTTTTAGCACTGCTTGATGACACTCCAGATTCTTCATACCATCTCAAATTAGCATACATATGCATCTGAATATCCACAACTACACATATCGTACCCTTCCTTTCACTTGGATTACTCACTTCTTTTTTCCTTTACACTTTTGGCTGCGCTTTAACAATAACTTAACTGAAAAAGCTAAGCCCAGAGCCAAGAAGAGCAAGGGACCAGTATTCAACTTCTAAAGCTAAAAATCATAGATTGAAGAGCTTATTCACTTGAATTATAATTCCTAATGATAGAGCTCCCCTACCTTATTCCCTCACAATTCTAATGCATGTAGTCTCTTAAATTCATACACATTTGGTGCTAAATAAACAGAGATACAGGTTTATGCAATATATCAGGGAATAACTTGGGGTAAAATCCACAAACAAAATGCATACATATTGCACATATGGTTCGAAACTTTGAGACAAAACACCAATGTATCAACCCTAGCACAAAACCCACACAACACAATCTCTGCCTTCCCTTCCGTTGATCATATCAACTTGAAAAGAAAATACCAAGCTTGCTAGAGATACTAATCTGCCCATTAAAGTGAAGTGCAAAATTTGAGGAAAATGAGAGATTTCACAGACAAAAAAAATTATATTTGAAGCATAGCAACTCTGAATTACCATATATTTCTCTTGACACATAGCACAACAACTCATTGTCTCCAACAACAGACAAAAAAGGATCAAAATTGAATCCAATCCTAAACATAAAAAGCAAAAAGAAATTAAAAACTGACTATTCTAGTCGTCGTTGCTGTTCTTCTTCTTCGTCTTGTTCTTGTTGATCAAATCATCAGGAACAACCTTGAGCAGCTTCCGGTCCTTGCTCTTGGCTATCTTCTTCAGCGTCTTCGGATTAGAAATCACCTGCAGCTTGGTCCCGGACCTCAAGATGTTCTCCTGCTTCTTCTTATCCCTCTCCTCTTTCTTCTTCCTCTTCTCCTCCTTGTTCTTCTTGATCTCGCCCTTCAGCTCCGCCATTCTCTCTCTGTACGCCCGCTTTATCTCCTTCTCCTTCGCTCTCTCCTCGAAAGTCGTCCCCTTATGGCTAACCTGCGTCGCCGACGCCCTCTGCTTCCTCGGCTGCTTCCACTTCCGGCCGGAGACTCTCCCGGCGATCACGCCGTCGTAGCTCGGCTTCCCGAAGCTCGGCTTGTCGGGATTGTCTGACGAGGGTACCGCCGACCGCTTTGACGGAGGTAAACACGCGTCGTCGATTTCCATTGCAGCACCGACAGAGCCAAACACTGAAGCATCTTCGTTGGCGGTGGGTTCGGGGTTTCTCTTGCGCTTGTAGGTTTTGCCGCCGAAGCCTTCGTCTAGGCGGCGGAAATCGATTGTGCAGGCCATGGATGAACTAGGTCTTTAATCTTGGCCGCCACAAACACTGGATGTAGCTATTTATATGCAGCGATTTTTGTTTTTTGAGTATTTATATGCAACGATTTTTGTTTTTTGAGAATTTATATGCAACAAATTTAGAATTTAGCAACGTTTAATGACATTTCATTTTATTTACCAAAAGCAAATTGTATAATAATAATAATAATTTATTTATTTATTAATTAAAACTTGTAAATTGCAAAATAATACTGACAATTTCTTAAAACATTAAAAACCACTAGACTATTTTCTTTTCAATTAACATTCACATACAATTTGTTGAAAAACATATCTCATTCTTGAGGTCCAAAAATCCAGGGTTGGGCCTAAATAAATTCTTGGCTCAACATAATGCTTTATTAAGAAAAATACTCGGTTTGGAGTATGCAAAATTCCTCATTCATGCTTGCACAAGCCACGACCACATGTCATTCCAAATAAATATGCAATCTCTCATGCTAAGAGTTGAAATAAGCACGAACTCTTCGAATCCATGCTAATTACCCCGTCAAGCATCATGCCTCTATTCAAGGACGATAAAATTAAAACATGCCGATTGACATGCCATGCTAAGCAAGAAATTATTATTTCACACACAACCACGCTACAAGCTTAAGTAGGCCCAAGCCACGCAAATGCTCGAGGCTTGCTTGAGTGAGTTGTGGTATGAATGGTAACAAGCTTTCATGAGGCCCATTGATGAGCCAAGAAATGGAAGTTTTGGGCTTCTTGGGAGCCCCAAAACTCAAGCCCATTTCTTGGGCCCAAACATATGGGCTAGCATGAGAGAGAGAGAGAGAGAGAGAGAGAGAGAGAGAGAGAGAGAGAAAATGACCCAATGCCCTAGAGAATACATTTGCTTAGGAAACCCTATGTTAGTTAGAGCATCCAAATACTTTGTTAAAAATGTAACAGGCAAACTGCTTCCAGCAACTTGACGAAAACAAGCTAACTGGTGGCTGTAGAATAGAGTATCACTGACCCAAAACCTTGGGAAAAGCCCAATCCAGTGCTCTACAAAATATCTAGCAAGTGTGTTCAGCCTTTGCCCAAAGTTCTATGACAGAGTCAACATGAGCCAACATAAAACCAAAGGAAATTCATACGAGCAAGAAGGATACCCATCGGACAAAAAGCTCTACCTATCTTCTTTTCCATTACCAACTTCACTTGGAAAACTAAGGAGGAAAGCAAGCGGCGCCTCACACTCACGGGGAGGTCCAGCTGCGTCAAACTCTTAGAACTATAAAGGGTTCCTTACCCATGCACCTTGGATAGGAGAATTTCACTAAATTAGATCAAGTAGGAAGAAACGATGAAAAGGGAAAGGAAAAGTTAGATGAAATTAGGGTTCTTCAAGCCTATAAAAGAGAGCTTCTTCTACTCAGAAAATCGTCCTCCAGAGCCTGACCAAGCTTTGTCAAGCAAACTGGGAATTTTGCTCAAACCACCCAATCTTCTTCCTTATTTGTTTTCTCATTTCTCTAAGAAAGAAATCTGTCTAATCTTCCTCTGTTCCATTTTAACCCTTTGTTCACTGTAAGAAACTCACGCTTATTTCTCTATGTTCATGCTAAACTCATGATGGTTTTGCTCCCATGCCACAAGCTCCTCATGCTAAGCCATTAATTAATCTATCATGTTTATTTGGCTATTGGTGAAAAGAATCTGAGAGTATTTTTCTAGAGTCGCATCAAGCTCTTCAAAAACTCTTTTGGGAGCCTGGTCTCTGAACTCTGATACTTGGGGAATTTCTGTTCGTTTTCTTCTTACGGCAGCCCAAGCCCATTCGTCAGGCTGCTGGAACAAAAAGACCCCTACACTCATAAGAAATACTTTTTGTTTTTTTGTTTTTCACTAGTAGATCCTCACATCAAGTATATATTTAGTTCATTTACAAACTTATTAGTAAAACTAGGGTTAGGTTTAGTGGTTTAAAATTAGTTTGAAAATTGAACTAAATCAGCCTAAGCTGGTTTAAAACTTGAAAATCGACGGTTTAACCAAATCGAATTAGCCTAAGTTATATATATATATATATATCTCTCTCTCTCTATCTCCCCCCTTTGTTGTTGGTGCTTGTTGAAATCGATCGGATTGAACCGATTTCTCGGTGAATCGATCGTAGTCGGTTGAAGTGCTCTTCGATTAGGTCAGTCAATGTCTGGTTCTGGCCTTATCAATGCAGTTCAGTCTGGTTGTCCAATCCTTTAAAAAAAGCCAAAATGGACAAAAATGCCCTTATTATTTTTGGATTTCCTAAGGAATCTTTTACATTTGCATATTTTTTGCTTGAAAGTTAAGGGGTTTTTCTGTCTTTTTGGAAATGTTTTGGCTTTTTCCGAAAGTGAAATTTTTGTGTGGCTAAAACCTAAATTTACTTTAAAATTAGTGTATTGGGAATCTAAAAGTCCACATGTTGTGTTACACACCTGTTGTTTTCCAACTTACTGCGATCTTTCTTTAACTTATTTTCTACTTGTTTTTATTTTACTAATAGTCACACATAGTTTGTGTAATCTATCTAGTTAATTATCTCACCTTTTATTTATTTAGTAATGTAAAATTTGATATGATAGTTTCTTACTTGGTATAAACAAGTGAGATAGGTCCAAATGAGTAAAATGAACTATTGTAAGGTGTTAGGGTTTTTTTGTGGCTACTTTTATTGGAAACACTTATGCTCATAAAATGTTTAAAAAAAAAAAAAATCTAAATACCTCCTAGAAAAGCATAGAAAGTTGCTTCATGATGTATAATCACTTTTAAGTTTTTATGCCAAATGCTTACATAAGTGATTTTAGCAATTTTAAAAGGAGTAGTCTAGTGATGCTTCTTTCTCAATGTTAAAAGAGGTCCCAACCAATTCGAAATCTTATTCCCCAATGATTGAAAATAAAGATGTATTGTAATATTAGTTGGAAAGCTAAGAATTTTTTTTAATTTTATCAGATGACAAAAAACACAATTTTTGATTTAAGTATTTGAGATCGAATGATATATCTTTTTAGTGGTATTTTTTTTTTTATAGTAAATATCACGAGGTGTCCCCACACCCGAATGATGGAATTAATCCCCGCTCGAAGTTCAACTTGTCCCCTAGTCACAAAGTGCTTCCAACAGGTTTCGAACTCCTGCCATTGAGGTACCAGGTAGCTCGCCAGTTGGAGGTGGCAGTTTGCTAACTAGGGATTTAGGGTATGGAGATACTCGAATTTTAAAAATACAAATTTATAAATAAACCCAATCCTAGACATGTATTTATAAAAAAACCCAAGCACTATTTAAACATAGAAACACACCCAAAATCAACCCCAAAGTCAACTTTTTGGGTGTGTTTATAAATGGGTTTTGAGTGTGTGTAATGATGGGTTTTGGGTGTGTTTATAAAGTGTTTTGGGTGTTGGGTTTTTTTATAATTTCAACCTCCATTTTGGGTGTTTTAGTGAAACTCCCCCTTTTAAAAATCCCTGACGGATAAGGGCGGGGGATGGTAATTGTATCATCGTTCCCGAACCTAGCACAATATTATATGTTAATTTTTCAATTAATAGATATATAATATAAAATACCCTTAAAAAATATTAGATTTAATATAATTTTTTTTTTGGGTAAATACCATGAGGTGTCCCTACACCCAAATGATGTGATTAATCCCCGCTTGGAGTTCGGCTTGCCCCTAGTCACAAAGTGCTTCCAACAGGTTTCAAACCCCTGCTATTGAGGCACCAGGTAGCTCGTCAACTCGAGGTGGCAGTTTGCTAACTAGGGATTTAGGGTATGGGGATCCTCGAATTTTAAAAATCCCTGATGAATAAGGGCCGGGGATGGTAATTGTATCCTCGTTCCCAAACCTGGCATAATATTATATGTTAAATTTTCAATTAATAGATATATAATATAAAATACCCTTAAAAAAATATTAGATTTAGGCAGGAGGTTCAATCCCTAAGCTCGCCAATCTCAACAGCCACAAGTTCACCAACAGCGCACCAAGACATTTTGAGTTATAGTTAGATACATATATTTAATAATTTCCATTCCATTCTAGCCAAGAGAAGAAGAAGCATGTGCGATTTTGGTTGAACATAAATCAAAATCTGAAAAATAAAATCGGAAATTTGGGGCGAGTTTGGGTGATAAATCCCTGATAAGGACGAGATGGGGATTCCCCAAAAATTTATTATTAGGGATGGGACGGGTACTGGAATGAGGAGCGGGGACGAGGATTGTATTGCTATACCCGGCCCTTACCTAGCCCATTGCCATCCTTATGTCAACCGCATCACGCCTCGTGGTTTTCTTTTTTCAATATTAATAACAAATACTTGTTTACTTTTAAATTTAAATTAACAAAGTTGCGTTCGAATTTCTCAATGCTCGGACAAAAGAAAAGGAAACATTGTCGGTGGCAAAAGCCCAATCGCAGAAAGATTGAACTCTGAAAAAAGCCCAAACAAGCGAGAGAGAGATATATATAAATACAGAACCTTGGAGCATATGGAAAGATAATCGCCGTTAGTCTCACTATCACCACTCCACCCTGCAGCCAGCTCAGAGCAGCCAACAACCGATCAGTGAGAGAGGAAATATTACTTCAAATTTTCATGGATGTAGTAATTATCATATCTTCTTGAGTTTCAGAGGCGAAGATACTTGGAAGACTTTTACCGACCACCGCTCCATAGCCTTGATCAAAGCCATGTAAGCCGGTAAGCAATCTATATTTATTCGGCCAAGCCCTTACAGCCTGTGTGGAAGTGAATCTATGCTTATATGTTATTCCTAATTTCTATTGAGCTTAGTGCCTGCTTATTATAGATCTACTCATAATTAGAAGAGATTCATGTTTAAGAGGATCAGAAAATTCCCAGAGTCCTAATTCAGAATTTGGCTCTCTCTGTTTTGATCAGTGGGTGAAGAATCTTAAAGGCGTAGCTTTTGATGGAGAAGATGTGTTGGATGAAATCAATTGTGAAGTTCTTCGGCATAAAGTAGAATTTGAGAACTATACAAAGAAAAAGGTACTAATCTTTCTTTCTGCCTCCGATCCCACTTTGTTTCGTCAGAAGATGGAACATAGGAGGAAGTCTATGAACGCATCTTTGGTGAGTGAGGCATCTTTCATTGGACTAGTTGATAAGAAAAAACACAAAGATGCAACCCTTCAAGCAATAGAGGACACAGAAAGCAACTCATTCTTTGGTAAGGATGAATACATCGTCGGAAGAAAGGAGGAAGTGTCAAGTATAGTTGCAACCTTGATTATCTCCAACAGTCAAGAAAGTATTTTGGTTATTGTAGGAATGGGTGGTGTAGGAAAGATAACTTCGAATAGGTTAGTGTACAATGAACCTGACCGAAAAAAGATATGTCGTCGTCCTTGATGACATTTGGAACAAAGATGAACAAAAATGGAATAGTTTGATGAGTTGTTTGTCAAAACTCCATTTCGCCCAGGGGATCACCAAGATTGTCACTAAACCTTCTATGAAACAATGTTTTGCATATTGCTCAATGTTCATGAAAGATTTCAACTGTCATGTTGAAACACTTGAGGTATTTGGATGTTTCTAGAGCCAGTATCAAAGCACTCTTTAATTCTTTTGGAAAATTTTGTAATCTACAAACATTGAGGATGACATTGTTTCTCACTTGAGTTTCCAAAGAGACTGCAAAATTTGATCAACTTGAGGCACATTTAGTTTGATGGACATATGAGATTTCCGTTAGTGTGGGGTGACCAACTAATCTCCAAATATTATCTAAAGTTGTAGTAATGGGAGAGGTTGGGGAATATGTGCATCATGAAGAAGAAGCATTGAAAGAAAATTTAGTGGGAAAGACAAACATATACATTTGAAGATTTGTAAGGGACCCAAATAGTCGAAGGAGCAACAAGGAGGATAATGTATTAGAAGGCCTCCAACTGCACCCTAATTTGGAAATTTTAGAGATGGAGAATTTCATGGTTGCTACATTTCCATCATGGATGATCATGAGTTTGTCTTTGCCAACTCTCAGTCATCTAGTTAATCTCAGACACCTTGAGATTAATAGATGGATAAATTTAAAATGTGCGGGAGCTAAGTTTTATGGATATGATGTAGTAGTTATGAGCAAGGAGACAAGGGCTTTGTTTCCAGTATTGAAGACATTCAAATTAGTGATACCCCAAACCTAATTGAATGGATGGAAGCACCTGTAAAGCCACCTGATTAATAGTGGTGTTTCCTTGCCTTAAGGAGCTGTCTCCAACGTATTCCGAGTCATTTATTTTTTAATTGAGTATATATTTATGTTTGTCAAACCTACCCAGTGGGTTGAACAGATGTACATTCCTTCAAGATTTGGAAATAAGAGCGTGTAAAGTCTTATGTTCATTCAATTCACAATCTAATACCCTCTCTGCAAATTGGAATTTTGGTGGTGTGGTGGAGCAGAATTTCCACCCCTCCATGTGTTGAGCCGTAGTCTATGGCTCTATGCCCATGTTTTTTTTATTCTTTTAAATGAACTCATTCTGATATAAGGGCATGATTTGCCTCAATAATTAGAAAACTATACAATTTTGTCCAAACTATGGTTTGTTTGGGGAATTTGGTTCCCAATTGGTCTGGATGAAACGAGAAAGGAACAAGCTGTCCTACCACCGCAACATGCATCATGCAATATCCTTATCATTCTGCCACCACAAAATAATCAACAAACGCTTGTCTTCAACTTTATCAAAAGTGATAATATGGGTAGGGTAAGGTTTTCCTGACAGTTCTTGTTGTCAAGCTCTTCAAAAGAAATTAAAAGGCCATCTTTATCAAAAGACATGATTTTTTTTATTTGATCAATCATGAGAGCTACTTTGCTTTTTTATTTATTTATTATTCTCATCGATGTTTACAGAATCCAAAGAAGCTGTACATTTGGAAACCAGTAATTAAGTTAAGTCTTAATTTCCACCGTAGCTATTATGGACACCAGCAAAGGGCAGTTTGTTTGTGAAATTTTTTCATTCGCATCCATGGACCATGGCACTCGTAAGAACAACTCAAGGAGAGGCCTCCTCTTCCAATACTTCGCATCATTCTTCTCATCGATGCAGTAGTTATCACATGTTCATGAGTTTCAGAGGTGAAGACACTCGCAAGACTTTTACCGACCACCTCTACACAGCCCTGGTTAATGCAGGGTTTCGTACATTCCGGGACAACGATGAACTTGAAAGAGGAGAAGATATCAAGCCGGAGCTGCAAAAAGCAATCCAACAATCACAAAGTTCTGTCATTTTGTTTTCAAAAGATTACGCTTCGTCCAGATGGTCCCTTGATGAGCTTGTGATGATCCTTGACTGCAAGAGGACTTATCGTGATCATGTCGTTTTACTGGTCTTCTATGATGTGGATCCATCCCAGGTGAGGAACTAGACAGGAAGTGTGGCAAAAGCATTTGCTAGACACCAGAAAACTCAATCATGGAGCAAGGTGAACAGATGGAGTGCGGCCACTTACAGAGATTGCAGATTTGGCTGGGATGGTGTTACAAAATCAAGCTGATGGGTAACTTCTTTCCTATAAGTCCAGATCGAGAAATATATATACCTTTGCCAACATGAATACATAGGAAATTGAAATTAATACACCATGTTTACAATGAATAGTCTTAATGGTAGGGTAATTGTATATGATCTCATTTTCAGTTGTTTCTATTTTTACTTTATTTTGCTCTTTCAACCAGTCCACTAATTGGTAATTTCATTCCCGCTACTCTGCCTTTAGACCAGTATAGTCTTAATAATCTAAATCTGTCAGAATTTAAGTGTACCTTATAACTTTCTCCTGTTATTTCCATACATTTTATATTGGAAAAAGCTTGGTTCCTTAAAACTGAGGAGGTGCTCATCCTCAAAACAATTGAGATTTTGACACTTGTTAATTTCATTTAAATTTTATTTTTTTTGAAACAACTCTTTTAACTCTCTTTGTTTTGAAATTTGAAAGTGGCAAAATCCCATTTGCTTTGAGGAGGAACTCTTCCTTAAGAGCCAAGCTTTGTTTGAATCATATGCACATGTTTTTTCTTTCTTTTAAATGAACTCATACAGATCTGATTTCTATTTCATTATTTTGATTGCAATTTTCTAGGTACGAGTCAAAGTTTATCAAGAAAATTGTTAAAGTAGTTGGGAAGAAACTAAGTTGCACACCTTTTAGTGTTGCTCCTATTATGATTGGAATGCAGTATGAAGTCTAAGATATCAGTTTATGGTTACAAGATGGATCAACTGATGTCGGCATACTTGTAATTTAGGGGATGAGTGGAATAGGGAAGACAACAATTGCAAAATTGGTTTATAATTCAAATTTTAGAAAATTCGAAGGAAGTACTTTATTGAAAATATCAGAGAAATTTCACAACAAACCCAGGCTTAGTCAAAATACAAAGACAACTTCTTTATGATATTCTAAATGGGATAAAAGTGAAAATACACAGCGTTACTGAGGGAATATCTAAGATAGAAGATGTCATAAGCTCTAAAAGGGTTCTTCTTGTTCTAGATGATGTGGATCATGTAGACCAATTAGATACAGTACTTAGGATGAAAAATCGATTTTACCCAGGAAGTAAAAACGTTATAACAACTAGACGTTCAAGATTATTAAAGGGTCATCAAGTTACTAAGGTTCTTGAAGTTGAAACATTGGATTATGATGAATCCTTAGAGCTCTTCAGGTGGTATGCTTTACGCCAAGACCACCCCATTGAAGGTTACCTGGAATATTCAGAAAAGGCAGTGTACCATCGTGGAGGATTTCCATTAGCTCTTAAAGTTTTAGGTTCGTCTCTATTGGGTGAAAGTATTGGTGTATGGAAAAGTGCATTTGAGAAGTTGGAAGCTATTCCAAATGTTGAAATCATGAATAAACTGAGAATAAGCTACGATTCTTTACAAGATGAACATGACTGAAAATTATTCCTCCACATTGCCTGTTTCTTTATCTAAAAGGAAAAAGATTACATTGTCAGAATACTAGATGGATGTGATTTCTATACAATTGTTGGCATTCAAAATCTTGTTGATAGATGTTTAGTGACAATTGATGGATGTAACAAGGTGCAAAGGCATGACATGATTCGGGATATGGGAAGAGAAATTGTTCGCCAAGAATCAGAGGAGCCTGGAAAACGTAGTAGATTATGGCATCATATGGATTCTTTCAAAGTATTGGCAGAAAAGTAACGTACTTTGTATGTGTGCCTATATCGTTTTTCTTATTTTTGCAAAGTATCCATAAGTTTTTCCATTTTCTTGTGTAGGGTACGCAAACGGTTGAAGGTCTTGTCCTGGAGATGCATATGCTCCCTGCAAACAGTCAAATAAGCTCATATGGGACAGTCTTCAAAACCAATGCATTTGCAAGGACGCCCAAACTGAAACTACTCCATCTTGGTCATGTACAAATTGATGGATGTTATGCAGAATTTCCTACAGGATTAAGATGGGTTGAATTTTCTTTGGATTCTATACCTGCTAATTTTCCTCTGGAGAGCCTGATTGTTCTTGAAATGCAATATAGCAGCTTGAGGCAAGTCTGCAAAGGGGCAAAAGTATGTTATTCTTTCAATTCCTTTTTGTTTTAGGCTTTCAATTTGATGACACAAATTATATATCAATAAGAATTAACGTCCCATGTTGTTTCTATCTTTACATTTTTTTTCCTTCACAGGTTCTTCCATCATTGAAGATCCTTGATCTCAGCCCTTCTCATCTCCTTATCGACACTCAGCCCTTCTCATCTCCTTATCGACACCAATGACTTTTCGTTTTGCCCCAATATTGAGAAATTGATTCTTGCAGATTGTGATGAGTCGATTTTATATTATATATTTAACCTCATTCTTAGTATATTTTGGTTAATATTTTGGAAGAATTTTGATACTTTGAATTATATTTCCAATATAGGACTTTCGACTCTCTCTGGAGCAAAACATAATCAAATGAACGAATTTTGGAGTAATTCCAGTTGGAGGATGTACGTGAGTCACATAGCTTGATTGTATCAAAATATCAGACTTTTCCACTAAGCGATGATTTCCTGGTGAATAAATGAAGGAGCGATATGCAGTGCTGGAATAGTGACGTTTTGG